ATTTTTTGCTTTGCGCCTTGTGCTTCACGATGGCGTGTGTAATTCCACTGCTGATGAATAATCTTTCCTTGCAGATCAAGGACGGCCTCGCACAAGATAGGGAGCTGGCCGTTACTGTAGTCAGCGCTATGGGTCAGGAGAAGATTTGCGCTGTTAAGGAGATTAATCCTCGATAAATAATTTTCCACCGTCGCAGTACACTATTTCCGGGTGCCAGTACACCAGACTGGTTAGCATTGTGTATGCTCAACACGCTGAGTTTGATGTCTGTTTGTTGTGTCCACTTGTACAGCATCTGACTTTGTTGTTGTTGGGCTGAGAAAAGCCCTTAGGATCTTTCAAGGCTAAGACTCAGACAGGAATGTTGTATTGCGGAAGCGTTTAATGATAAGTTGTTGAACCACCTTGCGCTGGTATGTGAGGGCAAGATAGATTGATTATAAGGAAGTAATACAAGCTTTTATAAGATTACAAGGAATATGAAAGGATGCAATAACCGTTTTGCTGTTGCTGTTGCGGTTCAATACAGTGACGACTCGAGCAACTGCTCAATACCGAGTCAGTTGTTTGTCCTTGCTGTCGTGCTGTATTTGTCGAGTCAAAGGTCGCTGACCTTTGACCTTCTCGTAACCTCCGGCTGTTACTTTTCTGTAAACCTCCTCGTTTGACTCGCCATTGTTCCGCTGTAGCTTACCTCGTTTACGGTTTGATGTTACGACACATAGGAAGCGTAAATTACTTGATTCCAACACTCCCCTTTGCTTCTGGAGTGTCGTTGCTGGTGACGTGGCCTTGTCCAGTCAGCAGCATGCAGTACTCGAACTTCTGCTTTCCAAGCTTCTTTGTTAAATAATCGGCTGCCATCTCGGACGTGGGGCAATAGGATAGTTCGAGTCTTCCCTTCTCGATTTCGTCTTTCACGAAGAAGTATCGCAGGGCGATATGCTTCGTCTGGTTCGCGAACCCGTTTTTGTTCGCTATGCGAATTGCAGGTTGGTTGTCGCAGAACAGGGAGAAGCTGGGTAACAGGGCCAGCTTCGCTTCTTCCAGCAGTTCGCGAAGGTACAGTCCTTCCTTGGTGGCTGAGCAGAGTGCAATATATTCTGCTTCAGCTAAGGAGAGGGCGATTAGTTCCTGTTTGCTCGACTGCCACGAGATAGGCCCGATAGGCTCGAGTCGGTAGATGTAGCCGGTACGCGAACGCCTGTTGTCGGAGTGTAGTCGGCATCCACGTAGCCGATTAGCTTAGGCGTCGTGGTTTCGGTTTTGTAGCAGGTCAGGCCAATTGTCGGGGTGCTGACGAGGTAGTGAAGTGCGCGGTCGAGCTTCGCCATGTGTTCTTCTTCAGGCTTCTTGAGGTAGGTAGCGAGCTGGCTCGCTGAGTATGATAGATCCGGCCGGCAGATGACGGCTGCAAAGAGCAGGCATCCCAGCTTTCGTTGATAATCGCGTATGCCGGCGGGTTTGAGTTGAGCTGCTGTTTCCTTGTGTTTTCCGGCGGTGTAGCGGTATGGCATAGAGATAGCAGTTGGGGTAAGCCCGAAGCCCTGGCGATGGTGTCGGCGAATTTCGCGGCTCTGAGGTAGATCGCGTTCTCTCTTTCCTGTATGTTGATCCCGAGATACTGTGTTACGGTGGAGGAGACGGTGAGTGTGAGATCCCGCTGCAGCTCCCCTTAGAACCAGGTCGTGATGCCGTCGGTCGAGCCGATGTAGAGCAGATCCTCCACGTAGACGATGAGCAGGATGTAGTCGGTGCCTTTCGTGAGTCGGTACATGCCTTGGTCGTGCGGTAGTTGGCGGAATCCGATGCAGATTAGTCGGGCGTGAAGGTACTGCTGCCATAGCCTTGGAGCTTGTTTGATGACGTACAGGGACTTCAGCAGCTGACAGACATGATTAGGGTCTGCGTTGGAGCCGTGCGGTTGCTCGACGAAAATCTCAGCATCAACAGGAGCATAGAGAAAGGTGTTGGCGACATCGATTTGTCGGAGCTTCTTCCGCTTCATGGCGGCTATCGCGAGGAGAATCCGTAGTGAGGTGTGTCGGCTGACCGGCGTGAATGTTTCGGTGAAGTCTGGCGTGCTCTTGGTCGAAGCCGCGTACGACCCAGCGTGCTTTAAACTTGTCGATGGTTCCATCTGCCTTGCTCTCGTCATCATCGCTCCCGAACAATGCATCACCACATCTGCTGTGGACAGGAAAAATGGGCAACACAAAAGTGTTACGAGTGTTCGGCTGCATGGTATAGTACCGACCCCCAGCTGCACGCGCCGGTCGGTTCTCCCAACGCCCACAATGGGGACTACACCTGGGCATTGAAAAACACTACAACACATGGAAGATCTTCGGCGTCCACACAAGGGAAACACTGGCAGCACGTGACGTGATCTTCTATGAACGTCTCACCCTTCCGACGTACCTGTACAACCTGGAAACTTCACGAGATGTCACAGGCGGATTTCATGGGGACCGAGCCTTTGCTTCGGCAGCAGATGAAGCTGACTGGAATGAGCAGAACGTGGACAGAGATTCGGAAGAAGCTGGACCTCTTCCGTACTGCTCGGTGGACGTCCCAATGGACGACGACAACCCTCGCGAAAGCATCAACACCGAAGTCTTCTACGACCTCGCTAACAACGGTTACGTTACACCCCAACCGGTCGACACTAACATGTCCGAACGCGTAGGGCCCAATTTCTTATCTGATACAGAAGCGGGAGACGAAGCAGCTTATCCCGAGGACGCAAATCTTCCCCGCTACACACAGAGTGGGCTCCAGATACTAGGACTCGCCGCCGCCGTCCACGGAGCAGAGCCGCCTAAGGAGCCTACCACAGTTCAGCAGGCTTTGGGGGGGGAGCAGAGGGAAAAATGGCGCGAAGCAATGGACAAAGAATTAAAGGCGCTGGAAGAACGCAACACCTGGAAGGTCGTTCCCATCGGAGTAGCACGCAACAAGACAATACTTATCGGGAAATGGGTTTTTTGCGTGAAAACAACCATCGACAAGTTTAAAGCACGCTGGGTCGTACGCGGCTTCGACCAAGAGCACGGACGAGACTTCACCGAAACATTCGCGCCAGTCAGCCGACACACCTCACTGCGATAGCTGCTATGAAGCGAAAGAAGCTCCGACAAATCGATGTCTCCAACGCCTTTCTCTACGCTCCTGTTGATGCTGAGATTTTCGTCGAGCAACCGCACGGCTCCAACGCAGAGCCTAATCTTGTCTGACAGCTGCTGAAGTCTCTGTACGGCATCAAACAAGCTCCAAGGCTGTGGCAGCAGTACCTACACGCCCGACTAATCCGCATCGGATTCCGCCAACTACCGCACGACCAAGGCATGTACCGACTCACGAAAGGCACCGACTACATCCTACTCATCGTCTACGTAGACGATCTACTCTACATCGGCTCGACCGACGGCATCACGACCTGGTTCTAAGGGGAGCTGCAGCGGGATCTCACACTCACCGTCTCCTCCACCGTAATACAGTATCTCGGGCTCAACATACAGGAAGGAGAGAACGCGATCTACCTCAGCGCCGCGAAATACGCCGACACCATCGCTTAGCGCTTCGGACTCACCCCAGCCGCTATCTCTACGCCATACCGCTACACCGCCGGAAATCACAAGGAAACAATAGGATGCCTGCTCTTCGCAGCCGTCACCTGCCGGCCGGACCTATCATACTCAGCGAGCCAACTCGCTACCTACCTCAAGAAACCTGAAGCAGAACACATGGCGGAGCTCGACCGCGCACTTCATTACCTCGTCAGCACCCCGACATTCGGCCTGACCTACCACAAAACCGAAACCACGACGCCCAAACTAATCGGCTATGTGGATGCCGACCACGCTGGCGACTCCAACAACATGCGTTCACGTACCGGCTACATCTACCAACTCGAGCCTATCGGACCTATCTCGTGGCAGTCGAGCAAACAGGAACTAATCGCTCTCTCCTCTGCTGAAGCGGAATATATTGCACTCTGCTCAGCCACCAAGGAAGGACTGTACCTTCGCAAACTGCTGGAAGAAGCGAAGTTGGCCCAGTTACCCAGCTTCACTCTGTTCTGCGACAACCAATCTGCAATTCGCATAGCGAACAAGAACGGGTCCGCGAACCGGACAAAGCATATCGCCCTGCGATACTTCTTCGTGAAAGACGAGATCGAGAAGGGGAGACTCGAGCTATCTTACTGCCCCGCGTCCGAGATGGCAGCCGATTACTTGACCAAGAAGCTCGGAAAACATAAATTCGAGTACTGCATGCTGCTGACTGGACAAGGCCACGTCACCAGCAACGACACTCCAGAAGCGAAGGGGAGTGTTGGAAACAAGTCATTTACGCTTCCTATGTATCGTAACATCGAACCATAAACGAGGCAAGCTACGGCGAAGCAATGGTGAGTCAACCGAAAAGGTTGACAGAAAAGTAACAGCCGGAGGTTACGCGAAGGTCAAAGGTCAGCAACCTTTGACTCGACAAATACAGCGCGACAACAAGGACAAACAACTGACTCGATATTGAGCAGTTGCCCGAGTCGTCACTGTATCGCACCGCAACAGCAACAGCAACGGTTATTGCATCCTTTCATATTCCTTGTAATCTTATAAAAGCTTGTATTGCTTCTTTATAATTAATCTATCTTGCTCTCACACACTAGTGCAAGGTGGTTCAACAAATTCCTTATTACAACACTTCCGCAACACAACATTCCTATCAGAGTCTTAGCCTTGAAAGATCCTTAGGGCTTTTCTCAGCCCAACAACGCTGAGTAGGCCACCTTTAGGTTCCAATCGAAGTCATCAGAGTTCTGCCTTACAGTGGCAAAAAGTTGAGTTGGATTTTGCCAAAATGAGTTTGAGACGAATGTGTCCCCTCGCCTCAAATTTCCAATGGCGCATGCATCAGTGCATCTGTCAGTGCATGCAAGTGTCGGTGCAAGTGGTGTGAGTGCCTGCAGGGGCCGGTGGGCATCCAGCAAGGCATCAACAGCAGAGACCTCCACACCACAACTTGCTGTGTCGCGCATGGGCCCTGCTTGCCCATGGTGCCAGCAGGGCCATCTGCTGCTTATATGGGTGAGGAGTCAGTGGCTGGCTGGAAGCGAACCATTTGGGGGCAGGCAGCACAGGGAGAGCGAAGCACATGGCAAGAGACATACTAAGCACAGAAGAAACAATCATGGGCGAACCAAAGTCGCCACCTAGAATATTCACACAAGCTGCAGAGGCACCGTGAGTTGCTGCCCTCCCCTCTCCCACCCTCCCACCCCCCACCCTCCCATCTCCCGCCCTCCCATCTCCTGCCCTCCCATCTCCTGCCCTCCCATCTCCCACCCTCCCATCTCCCACCCTCCCATCTCCCACCCTCCCATCTCCCACCCTCCCATCTCCCTCAGCCATGCCCATCAGTAGAACCAGCAGAGAGCGCTCCCCTGCTTGCACCTCCCCTGCTTGCACCTCCCCTGCTTGCACCTCCCCTGCTTGCACCTCCCCTGCTTGCACCTCCCCTGCTTGCACCTCCCCTGCTTGCACCTCCCCTGCTTGCACCTCCCCTGCTCGCACCTCCCCTGCTTGCACCTCCCCTGCTTGCACCTCCCCTGCTTGCACCTCCCCTGCTTGCACCTCCCCTGCTTGCACCTCACCCCCACCAGGTTCCCCTGCATTCTTCCCTCGCGACAGCTCTGCCCTCCCCTACTCCCCCCTCCCCACCCTCCATTCCTCACCACCTCGCCTTGCACATTTGCATGTACAGCTGACCGCACTGCCCCACTCACGCCCATCACTCCACATACCACCTACAGATCCAGCGGAAAATAGCACAGGAAAAGACGATGGCGCAGAGGGAAAATAGCACAGGAAAAGACGATGGCGCAGAGGGAAAATAGCACAGGAAAAGACGATGGCGCAGAGGGAAAATAGCACAGGAAAAGACGATGGCGCAGAGGGAAAATAGCACAGGAAAAGACGATGGCGCAGAGGGAAAATAGCACAGGAAAAGACGATGGCGCAGAGGGAAAATAGCACAGGAAAAGACGATGGCGCAGAGGGAAAATAGCACAGGAAAAGACGATGGCGCAGAGGGAAAATAGCACAGGGGAGGAGGGGTGCACGTGAGAAGATAGCACAGGGGAGGAGGGGTGCACGTGAGAAGATAGCACAGGGGAGGAGGGGTGCACGTGAGAAGATAGCACAGGGGAGGAGGGGTGCACGTGAGAAGATAGCACAGGGGAGGAGGGGTGCACGTGAGAAGATAGTGAAACAGCACAGGGGCGATGTTTCGTGGAGAACAGGTGGATGGAGAAACAACGAGATTGAGGTGGTGCTGGATGCAGCAAGAGGACGGCATGAGGGACGGGACGCCATGAGCGATGGAAGAAGAACGGTGAAAGTTGGTAACGATGTGGTGCTGACTGAAATGCACAAGGAGGGCGGAGGGGATGGGGGGTACGGAGATGGGTGTGGGGCAACATTATAAGGTTGGTTTCTTTTTCGTGTGTTTTTTTTTTCTTTTTTCCTTTTTTTGTTGTACAAGAACCCCCTCCCCCCTCTCATGAAAATCACCAGCACTCCCACTCTCATCATCCTTGCCCACTGCTGCCTCCTGCCGCCCTGTCTGCTGCCGCCCTGCCTGCTGCCGCCCTGCCTGCTGCCGCCCTGCCTGCTGCCGCTCAGGCCTGCGGGCGGGGCAGGGCAAGGCCTCCCTTCCCTCACACATACGTGCTGGTAGTGGCTGGCAGGGCAGGCGGGCACACAGGCCGCAGACACACGGAGTGCACTGCTGATAGCCGTGGAAGGAGGGTGGAATGGAAAGGGGGGTCGGGGTTGAGTGACGGGGTGGAACGGGGGGATGGAAAGGAAGGGGGGTTGAAAAAGGAGTGCACTGCTGCTAGCTGGGGACGGGGGTGGGAGGAGGACACAGGACGGGAGGAGAATGGGAGGAAGATGGAGGGATGGGGGGTGGGAAGTTGGGATGGGGGGGGATGGGGGCATGGTAGGATGGAGGATGATGCAAATGAGGGGATGGGGGAATGGGGGATAAGGGATGGGGGGATGTGGGATCGGGGATGGGAGGCCAGGGATGGGGTATGGGGGGATGGGCAATGATGGGTGGATGCGGGATGGGTGGATGGGTAGATGGATGGATGGGGGATGGGGTATGGGGGGATGGGCGATGATGGTGGGGGATGGGGGATGGGGGATCGGTGGATGGGAGGTGGGGATTGCAGATGGGCAGGTGGCTCTTATGTGACACGGCCATGAGAAGAAGGACGCTCACAGGCAAGGCAATGACCCACCCACCATGTGTCCCTCCCCTCCACCATGCCCCACACACCCCATGCACACCAGCACTCCCAGAATCCCACCCAACTCCCACCCATCACCACCCCTTTCCCACACATCGTCTCCCCTCTCTCACCCAGCATCGAACCTGCACTCCCTCTGCACCCGCCCCTCCACTCACACCGCCTTCCCCCGCCCTCACTCCCGCTGCTGCGCCTCCTCGCCCCTCTCTCCTCCCCACCGTCCTTTCGCCACTGCCTCCTCTCAGTGTGACGTTTGAGCCGACTCAGAAACTGGCGCACCCATTCCGTCCTGCCCCTGCGCCACTGTATCGTCCCCGTCCACCTCCCGCAGTAGCATCTCTCCACTGCAACCTCCTCGTGCCCATGCACCTGCACCGCCTGCCATGGCCCCTCCTGTGCCTCCCATGCCACTGCACCATCTCTCTTCCACCCTCTTCCCTCCTCCACCACCCATGTCACTGCGCTGTCTCCCCTCCACCCCCTCCTCTCCTCTACCACCCATGCGACTACGGCATTTCTCCTCCATTCCCTCCTCTCCTATACCGCTTATGCCACTAAGCCATCTCTCCCGTCACCCCTCCTCTCCTGCCGATGCCACTATGAAATCTCTCCCTCACCCCCTCGCCTCCTCCACCGCCCATGCCACTAGAAAGTCTCTCCTCCAACCCCTCCGCTCTATCCACTCCGCACCTCCCTCCAGCACAACCCCCTCTCACTCCGGCCCCCTCTGCCCCTGCTGCAGCAGGCATGGGAGCAGGCACGGGAGCAGGCGCGGGAGCAGGCATGGGAGGAGGCATGGGAGACGGCATGGGAGCAGTTGTTGCAAAGTGCTGTGCACGGGGCATGGGAGGAGCAGGTAGTGCTGGGAGAAGATGCATGAAGCCAGTACGAGGAGGGTGAGTAGCCCCAGAAGCAGCAGCAGCAGCAGCAGCGGTAGAAGGGGGGGAAGGGGGAGGAGGTGCAGAGAGGGCAGGAGCATGTGGGAGCGAGCGACCATCCGCAGCCGCACCGCCCCTTGATTTGAATGCCAGCTCTCACCACCCCTGCCCAGCTGTTGCTGGCTGCACACAGGTACCACACAGACAGCTGTTGCTGGCTGCACACAGGTACCACACAGACAGCTGTTGCTGGCTGCACACAGGTACCACACAGACAGCAAAGGGAACGGCCGTGGATTAGAGCTGTGGGGATGGTAGACAAAGCAGCAGTGCAGCACAGCACGGTGCAAAGTGCACCTGCGGGGGCTACCTGACAGTGGAGGCGGGTGCAGCGGGCAGTAGCAGCACGCCACGGAGAGAAAAGGCCTGAGGCGGGTGGTACCTGAGGCGGGTGGTACCTGACAGGCGAGGCGGGTGTGGTGGGCAGTAGCAGGACGAGGTGGAGAGAGAAGGCCGAACTGACTGATAGGCCGATGGGGATGGGGCATGGCGGTCACATGCTGCTGGGGTGGATGGTTGGGTGGGTGCTGGGGGGGAGGGTGGGGTGGAGGGTGGGTTGGATGGAGGGGTGGATGAGTGGGTGCATGTACACAAACACATGCACCTACCGCCCACTCGCCACGTGGCGCGCACACACCATGCCCCACCTCTCAACGTCACTCTTCCCGCATCCGGCGCTGCCACGCTGGCACCTGGCTGACAGCGTGGCAGCTGGCCGCCCAGCCAGTGAGCCGCTGCTCGCCCTCCCCTCGCCCTCACTCGCCCTCGCCTCGCCCCAAGTCGCCCCTTCGAATGAACTCGCCCTCCCCTCGCCCCTTCGCACCCTCATATCCCCCACCTTTCCTTCTCGCTCATTCTGCTGCTTCTGATAGTGATAGTGATGATGCCGCCGCTGCCGCCGCCGCTGCTGCTGCTGCTGCTGCCGCTGCTGCTGCTGCTGCTGCTGCTGCCAGTGCGAGTGCTGCGCTGTGCGGCTGAAAGACGGCCGCATGGCGGCATGCGGATACGTCGCTATGGTAGCATGGGGGGCAGCAAACGTGGCGGCATGGGGGAAACAGGTGGCGGGGAGCACGCGGGAAGGCAGGCAGTGACGACGAGGTGGTCGGCGGACATCACGCGCGCACAGCATTCCGCGCACCTGCGCTCTCCGCCACTCCTCGCTCTCGCCGCTGCTGCTGCTCCCTTCGTGGCTGCTACCGATACCATGACTGTGATTGAACTCGTGATTGTGATTGTGATCGTTGCACGGGTCGTGGAAGCTCGCACTGCTGGCGGCATGAAAATCAATCGCGCCGCGACGCGCCGCGCCGGCGCGACGTTGGTGCGACAACGACGACAATTCGATTTGACTAAGCCAGGCGCACGATTTCCTTCTCCTGAATCACTGTTAGCCATTTCGCGTGTGAGCGAAACGAGGAGCGGCGACATCATGAGCTTCATACTCTGGTATCCGGCCTGGCTAGAGGGAGCGACGAGAGGGGGCAATGAGGTCGAACTTTGCTGAGCCAATTGCAATTTACAAGATGGGTGTGGTGTGGAGAGAAAGGGGGTTGGAAAAAGGTGGGGCCGGAAAGGAGTGGGAAAAAGGTGGGGCCGGAAAGGATTGGGAAAAAGTGTGGGGATTAGCGGGGTGGACAAAGTGGGGTGGACAAAGCGGGGTGGACAAAGCGGGGTGGACAAAGCGGGGTGGACAAAGCGGGGTGGACAAAGTGGGGTGGACAAAAACGGGGCGCTGGTGGGAGAAAGGGGGTGGGGAAAAGGGGGTGGGAAAAAGGGGGTGGGAAAAAGGGGGTGGGGAAAGGGGGGTGGGGAAAGGGGGGTGGGAAAGGGGGGGTGGGAAAGGGGGGGTGGGAAAAAGGGGGTGGGAAAAAGGGGGTGGGAAAGAGGGGGTGGGAAAAGTGCGACTTCTGAGACGTCTCAAAATACGCGACTTCTGAGACGTCTCAAAATACGCGACTTCTGAGACGTCTCAAAATACGCGACTTCTGAGACGTCTCAAAATACTGGTGGAAGAAGTGAGTGAAAGGTCCCGGTGGTGGAAGAAGTGAGTGAAAGGTCCCGGTGGTGGAAGAAGTGAGTGGTGGAATAGGTCGGGTGCAAAAGGTTAGTATTGGTCTCGTGGCACGAGCCTGCGAGGGAAACCATCGCCGCGCACTCAGCCTCGCTATCCCTCCACCACTAGGAGCGGGGGGTTTTCGCTGCTCGGTTTCCCGCCTCACGCAATACCCCCCTCTCTAACCGCCACGTCATCCTCCCTTCCGGGTGGATACCGCTACGGACTCTCAGCTTGGAGCGGACGAGTCATCGATGTGGCAGGCGAAGGGTCTCGCAGGTGTGTGACAATTCCAAGGATTGGCCCCCGCTCGGGTTACAGACAAGCGCGACCTCGTCCGGCGATTCTCATGGTCAACTTTCGGGTAGTTGTTGAGCAATCCATAGCTAATATTTGTTACGTGGGTCTATTATGCTTGTCATCATGCATTTCATTTTATCCTCACTCGACAAAAGCTCTTCAAATTCACAGTTGTCACTCTCTCCTAAACCGATGAAAGGACTTTCCTCTTTCAGAAATTTTGGATAACTCCTCGTCCCAATTATCACTGTTGTAGCTTGCGCTTGGTGTCCAAGTGCCTTTGTCTGCAGAAACAAGCTCGAATACTCAGCGCACCTCTCCTTTCTGCCGCGCCTTGCCAAACAGACTCCTCTCCGCCCGCCGTTCCAAGCTTTAGTCGCCACCCCCGCCGCCATCCACGATCAAGCCACGCAACCGGTGATTTTCCACTAGCTGCTTCCCTCTGCTTTCCGCGTAATGGAAAGAGCCAATAACTCTACTCCACGTGGCGTCGATCAACACCACCTCCACACGAACCGTGTAACCATTCGCGAACGGCTTCGCGAATGGAAGAATCGCGTCAAGTGCCGCGCGCAGGGGTTGTATGCGTCGGGTTACCACAACGGTTACGGATCTGCTCCCTACGGCTCCCTTCAAGTGTCCGTCGCGGCGGGCGGCTGCCGCAAGGCGGCGATGGCGACGGCGGCGGCTGCGGCGACATCGTCGCTGGTGGCGGTGCGCGTGTTCAAAGGCAACAGCGTACTCGCGCAATTTAAGGCGCGAATCACGGCGCGATTTGCGGAGGGAACCGCGGGGCTTCTGACTGATGCGGCGGATGGGCAACGTGCAGCAGGAGCAGAGGCGTGGGCAGCAGTAGGCATGGAGGCGACGGGCGCGATTGGGGAGAGATGCGAGGCGGAGGGGATGGGCGGGGTGAGCGGGGCAGATGGGGCGAGGCCAGCGGTGGTGGTGGGGGGTTTAGGGGCGGGCGGGGAGGAGCAGCAGAGCGCGGCAGTGCGCATGGCGCAGGCGGTGCTGCTGCCTGCTCTGGGCGCCGTGTCACACGCCTTCATGCATGGCCTCAACCGCACTGAGGTGCGCTCAACCGCACTCAACTGTCCCAAGGCGGGTTGATGTGCATGGTTCCTTGTGCATGCTACACCATAAGAAATCATTTATGGCGAATATAGCAAGCCAAGCCAACTAGCGTGACAGCTTGAATTCGTTCTGCATTTGACATTTAGGTCACGTATCGATTGTTTTTCTCGTTCCCCCCTCCACCCGCTCTCTGCCTCGCTGTTCCCCATCCGCCCATCCCCTCCCGCCTACACTCCCCCCCTCCCCCCACCAGGTGATTGACGCGCACAAGCTCACCAGCGCCATCGCCCACCGTCCCCCCGGCACACCCCTCCTCACGGTACCACTGCTGCCTCCCTGTGCTGTGCGCTGCTGTCCCCCACTTCCTCCCCGTGCGCGCCGCCGTTTGCCTCCATGCGTCACGCCTCTTCCACCCTCGCATCCCTCTTCCATCCTCCCACCCCCCTTTCTTCCTCTGATCTCTCTCCTCGCCTGCACGTCCTGCATCAACCGTTTCCCACCCACAGCTGCTCTCCCCCCTCCCCCCACACCTGCTTTCCCCCCCCCCGGACCTGCTTCCCCCCCCCCCCTCCCCCAACACCTGCCACCTCATCCATCCACCCACCCGTCCCCCTTATTCCGATTGCCACGTCACCCACCCCCCCCGACTCCCTCAAGCCAGGTGTCACTCCCTCTCCTACCCCGCCACATGTCCCTTAGTCACGTGTCTATCCAACCGCCACGTGTCCAACCACGTGGCAGTCATGGAGGATCCTTAGTCGGTGCCGCAGTGCCGCCCCACTCCTTCATCCACGTCACACCCTCCTTCATCCACGTCACACCATCCTTCATCCACGTCACACCATCCTTTCACCATCCCGTCCCACACACCCTTCCATCTCTCCACTCCCCCACCACCAGGTGTCCAATCACGTGGCAGCACTGGTGCCGCCCTCTTGTCATGGCAGCACTGGTGGCCCCTTCCCTCATTCACGTCACACCCTCCTCTGTCTCCAATCCCCCACCACGTGTCACCCCCTTCCCTTCCCCCCCTTGTCAGGTGGCCAATCACGTGGCAGCAATGGACGACCCGCTAGTCATGGCAGCAGTGGTGCCGCCATCCCTCATGCTCGCCCGCCCCGCCTCTCTCCGCTGGACCCTCTGTGCCACCGACCGCTGCTTCTCCTCGCCGCTCCTCTCTGCTTTCTTCACCTCGCTGCGTGCCCTGCCTGTCGAGCGAAGGGGAGGGTTGCAGCAACCAGTGAGTGGGGTAGGAGGGGACTGGAGAATTTCCAGCAATGGTAAGTTCTGCGCCCTTCCTCTCTCCGCTGGACCCTCTGTGCCACTGATCGATGCTTCTCCTCGCCTCTTCTCTCTGCCCTCAGCCGGTGCGGAGGGCTGCAGCAGCCGGTGAGTGCATCGACGAGGGGGGTGGCCCGGTGGGTGGGAGGAAAGGGGAAGGGGATCAGTTGCCTTGTCATCTGATGCCTTTCGACCCGCATCCTTCTTACAACTTTTGCTAACTCCCCTTCCCTATTCTTTTTCCTCTACACTCCCCACCAGAACTCTTTTTCCCATCACCCTCCACCTCTTTAAGGTATGGCAGCAGGGCAGTGCCTGCCTGGGCGGGCAAGGGAGGGAGCGTGTCTTAGAACTCTTTCTCTCTCCCCTCCCACCATCCCACCCACCCACCCCCTGCAGGGCATGGTAGCAGCGGCGCAGCGCCTGGCCGAGGGCGGGTGGGTGCACATCTTCCCGGAGGGCACTCGCTCGCTGGATGGCGGGCAAACCATTGGCCCCATGCGGCGCGGTGTTGCGTGGTGAGGAGACGAAGAGGGGGAGGTGAGGGGGGAGAGGGGGGGAAGGGCGGCGAGGTGAGAGGGGGTGAAGTTAGGGGGGTGGGGGTGAGGGGGGTTTGGAGGGGTGAGGGCAGAAGGTTGAGGGTGGTGCGATGGAGTAAGGGCGAATGTGGTGGTGCATGTGCGTTGCTGCATGTGGGATGGTGTATTTCGGATGGTGCACGTGCGTTGCTGCATGCGCGCGTGGGCGTTGCCGCATGTGTGCACAGCTGCATGACATGACAACACAAGGAACATTTCCTCTTCTCAAATGCCTTGCACACATTTCTACTGCTCGCAGTCTCCCCTCCCTGCCCATATTCGTTTCCACCATGCGCTGCCCTCCCCAATTATCCCCCCATGGTGCCTGCCCTTGCAATGCATGGTGCTGCCAATCATCACCCACACCCTCCCATGGGACCCCCAATACTTTTCCCTCTCCCCCCTTCATAACTCTCCCCTCCTCTCATGACACCCTCTCACTCGTGATTTCCACGTCCCCCCTCATATCCTCCCGTCACTTCCCCCAAATGGTTCCCCCCAGGCTGGCAGCGCAGTGCGCAGTGCCGCCGCTCATCATCCCAGTGGTGCATGTCGGCATGCACCGCGTGCAAGCTAGAGGACAAACGCTGCCGGCCGTAGGCCAACGGGTAAAGAAAGCTTTTCTTTTATACAGATCCATGCACATGCAAGCCCTTCCATGCACATAAATGCACCATATACGTCATCTCCATTCCCTTCCACCTTTCACTGCTCACTTTCTTTATTCCATCTTCTCTCCATGCCACATTTCTGTTTCTTATGCGTGTCTGTGCCCCTGACCATTCTCGCCACCCACAGCCAGCAATGCTGTGGGAACCCACTGTTCCCAACCAGCTTACCTCTTTCATTTGCCTTCCTGCCCTGTCTGCCCCACCTGCCCTCCATGCCCTCCCCTCCTCTCCCCTCCCATCCTTGCTCATTCCTTAGGTGGTGGCAGTGATGGTGGGCGATGTGATGGGCACGGGGTGTCACCTGCACCACGCACGCGCGCATCTCACTCCTCCCCTCGGCCCTGCTCTCGCGCCCCTGTCGCCACTGCCCTCTCGTCCCACAGGTGGCAGTGCTGGTGGGCGATCCCATCGACATCTCTGATCTGCTGCACAAGTACCGCCATCACCAGCACCACACCCAGCACCACCACCACAACCACCACCAGCAGCACCAGCAGCACCAACACAGCCAGTCCGAGCAGCACACCATCACCCGCACCCTCACCGACCAACAAAGTGCCCATCTGCCTTCCTTCCCTGCGCCACGTTCCCCTCCGCCCCCCGCCCTGCTGGACGCCATCTGTGCGCGCATAGGGGCGCACCTGCAGCGCCTGCACTCCCACCTGCTGCCTCAAGAGCAGCCGCTTCTTGAGGGGCGTGTGGCAGGTGTAGAGGGGAGTGAGTTGGGCATGGAGGGGCGTGTGCCTGATTGTGAGGTAGCAGCACCGATGGGTGGGGCAGGGCCAGGAGTGACAGTGGGTGGTGTGGACGGTGGAGGGGGTGCTAGGGATCATTGCGGCGTCGTCTATGCGGCTCCCAATCAAACTGTTTTTGAGAGCAGAGCGGAGGGCGCTGGGCTTGAGTTGAATCAGCCACATCACCCACGCTGGCAACTACACGCCACTGACAGTCGCGTTTCACATCGGCCCTTCAACCTCGCTGACCATCCCCTCAGCTGTTTGGAGGACCACAGATGGCACTCCCTCGCACTTGCCTCCCACATGGCTGATGCTTCTCCCCCAGCTGGCAGCAGTGCCAGCAGGCATGGTACTGCTGGTCTGTCCCAATCCCAGTGGGCAATGGCAGCGGGGGAGGCAGTGGCGATTCAACAGGAGGCGGAGAGGGTGGCGCTGCTGTTTGGCTTCGCTGCTCGCTGTGCCATGGGTGGGGGGCAGTGGCGACACAGAGAAACATTAATGATGTGATATGATAGTATGCTGCTGATCTGCTGATCAGGTTTCTTGCAGCAGCAGCAGGCTCTGTTTCCAATTGCTGCCTGCTGTGCCGTGGGTGGGGGGGAACATGGGGGCACAGAGAGCCAGATGATGCGGTCTGCTGATTCGCAGCAGCAGCAGCAGCAGCAGCAGCAGCAGCACAATCAACAGAAGCAGAAGGCATGAGGAGTAGTAGCAGCATTGCTGAAGCCGCTGGGTTACCGCAGTAGGCAGCAGCAGCAGCAGCAGGAGTTGTTCTGCTGGCTGTGCCGTGGTGGGGCAACCGTGCAGACAGGCAAGCGTGACAGATGCGTGTGTTGCCTGCAATCGGGTAGCACCTCTCGTGCTTCCACATAGCACCATGCATGCCCTGCCACTGTTTCAGCACAGCATGTGCTGCACACGTGTACAGACTAGACTAGAGTAGATGCACGTGCTGTGATTGCTGGGAACAGTTGGTGGCCTCGCCAGTGAGGCTTGGAGCGGGTTGGGTTGGATCCCTGGCAGAGGAACACATCTGCTGTGCTCTCATCTCTTCTGCTCTGTCTTAGAGTATAGGCATGAATGAGATTTGACTATCGAGAGAATTGGTAAAAGGAGAAAAATAAGGGGTTGTACCCCACAGTGAGTACCCCACTAAGCCTACCCAAACTATAACATATATATATATATATATATATATATGTTTGACACAACCCCATAGGCAAAGTGGGGGAGAACAGAGGGTCACAAGACCAGTCAGGAAATGCAAAGCAAGCTCAGGGTGGATCACAACGTCACCACGCAGTCTGAGCACAAGCAAAAGGCCACAAGGCCAGTTCACATGCAGAGATATATATGTAACCACAACAGCACAGTGATCTCTACCTACCAGAGCAAGCATGCAGGTATACATATAGATCACAGTACAAACAAAGCCTACAGCAAGTGAGGAAGCGTGGGTACAAGGCCTAACAAAGTACAGAAACGCTGATGATCACAAGGCGGAAGTGCCTTGGTGAATATATCAGCAGTGTTGGCCCGAGTGGCCACGTGAGCAAGACGAAGCTGGCCACGCTGCTGCAACTCTCGAGCAAGGAAGTAACGCAGAGCGATGTGCTTCGTTCTGTGCTCCAGTCTGTGCTCCTGACACAAGGCAATGGCGGCCTTGTTGTCGACGTACAGCACTGGAGGAGAACGAGGCCGCTCTCCCAAGTCGGTCAGCAGGTAGGTGAGCCAGCGTAGCTCCTGTGCAGCCATGGCTGTGGCGTAGATCTCAGCCTCACAACTGGAGCCGAGAACTGAAGACGAGCGTGTAGAACGCCAGGAAACTGAACCAGAGCCAAGGCTGAAGGTGTAACCCTGTGACGACCGCTGCGTAGCCTGGTCGTCAACCCAAGAAGAGTCCGAGTGACCAGTGAGGACAACGTCACCCCGTCCTCCAAGCACGAGCCCCATGCCCGATGTACTGCACAAGTAGCGTAGTACCCTCTTAGCAGCATCCATGTGCACCTTTCGGTGCCGACCAGGAGCCACGTAGCGAGTCAGAAGGCCAAGAGGGTACGCAAGGTCAGGACGAGTGCAGGTCATCAGGTACATGAGGCAGCCCACTAGCTCTGGGTAAGGACCACTCGGCTCTACGGTCTCGTCCGAAGGTGGAGCTGAGAGCGAGTGACCTGTAGCCAGAGGAGTGGCATGTGCTGAGGACCAAGTGAAGCCGAATCGCTGAAGGACCTGCTGCACCATGTGTGACTGAGTCAGTGTGATGGTGCGGCGTGCTCTGTCCCGGGTGATCTGCAAGCCAAGGTAGCTGCGCAGCTCACCCAGGTCTGTGCACGTGTGTCTCTTCTGCAGCTCCGACTTCACCAGGGCGAGAGCCTCAGTGTCAGCAGTGGCAAAGACCAAGTCGTCGACGTACACGAGGATGTAGAACGGCGGCAGCAAAGTGTCGGTGCGCAGAAACAGCGACGGGTCAGCAGTCGACGGGGCAAACCCAAGAGCCGCAAGAGTCGTCCTCAGTGTGTCGTGCCACTCACGTGGCGCCTGACGGAGACCGGAGACTGGCTGCCGAAGGCTCCACTGGGTACCAGGAGGGAACGACCCAGTGAAGCCAGGTGGGCGGCGCAGCCAGATCTCCTCGTGCAGACTGTCCTGTAAGAAGGCTGTGCTGAAGTCAAGAGAGTGAAGCTCGTAGTCACGCTGAGCGGCAACGTGCAGCAGCACCCGAAGAGTGGTCATCTTCGGGGTGGGGGAGAAGGTCTGGAAGAAGTCAACTCCCTCACGCTGACTGAAGCCTCGAGCAACGTAACGAGCCTTGAAGACAGGCGGAGAACCCGGCGGCCGCTTCACCCTGAAAATCCACATGCCACTGACGATGTTCGCCCCAGGTGGGGGAACCTCGTCGACGTAGGTGCCTGTGGACTTCCATGAAGCCATCTCTGCGTCCATGGCTGTCTGCCACTGAGAGGAGTAGGGACCCACGATCGCGGAGTCGGGATGTCTGGTGCATCCGGGTCTCCCTTAGGGGCAAGCAGCATGGCCACGAGATGAGGCGCAGCGGCTGCAAGGCACTCAAGGTCCTCCTGCCTGTCCTCAAGGACGTCCGTGCCAAGAGCACACTCACCCCCGACGGACGGAGGACAGACAGACTCAGACTCAGCAACAAGACTAGCGGCATAGTCTAGACGACAGACAGCAGCAAAGTCAACAAGCTCAGCGACTAAGGCAGACGCAGTAGCAGACTCAAAAGACGGGTCAGTGACAACAGTAGCAAGCAGACGCGTGACAGTAGGGTGCTCAGCACGAAACTGGTCAGACGCAGGGTCAACGACGACAGGCAGAGAGGACGCAGGCGGAGACGGCAGAGGAACACGCGACGGAGGAGAGGGAGGACGACGGACTACAAGGTGAGGGCCGGGGACAGCCGGCTGACGCTGACGAGGAACACGATTACCGGAACGACCAGAACGGACAGGTGAGACAGGACGCGACGCAGGCTCACGACGCTCAGCAAGGCCCCCTGTCTGCTCAGTGTACGGAGAAGGAGCAGGCAGCAGTGAACCAGGCTGTAACGGAAGACCAGTAGACGAAGGGAGACTAAGAACCTGGCGAAGCGCAGAGTCAGGCGGTGGCTGAGACGACGGAGACGGCGGAGCGAAGAACAGGCGCGGCTGTGCAGGGCCACCAGCACCAGCAGCTCCAGCACCCCTAGCAGCTCCGGCACCTCCAGCCGCTCCAGCGCCTCCAGCAGCTCCAGCACCCTCAGCAGCTCCAGTACCCTCAGCAGCTCCAGCACCTCCAGCAGCTCCTGTACCTCCAGCAGCTCCAGTACCCTCAGCATCTCCAGTACCCTCAGTAGCTCCAGCACCTCCAGCAGCGCCAGTACAGTCAGACACAACACCGCCAGCCCCAGCAGCTCCAGTACCCCGAGTACGAGCACCTCCGGGACCAGCTACACTAGCACCTCCTGCAGGCAAAGGACCAGCACCACCCCCTGCCCCAGTGACGCCAGCAGAAGAACCCCCAGCAGTAGAGTCTTGAGGTGCAGAAGCGCGACGTAGACGGCGACCGTACCAATCGTGCAGCTGCTGGGAGGTGAGAGGCACACGCTGACGAAGATGGCTACTCCAAGGAGACCGCGTAACAGCAGTCTCAGAATCCTCAGGCGACTCACCCCCAGACTCAGCACCCCCAGGCTCCGCACACGCAGGCTCAGCACCCCCAGACGCAGTACCCCCAGACGCAGGACCTCCAGACGCAGCACCCCCAGGCTCCGCACACGCAGGCTCAGCACCCCCAGTCGCAGCACCCCCAGACGCAAGACCTCCAGGCACCTCACACGCAGGCTCAGCGCCTCCAGGCTCCGTACCCGCAGGCCCCTCACGCTCAGCGCCCCCAGACTCAGCACCCCCACGCTGCGCACCCCCAAGCTCCGCACCCCTAGGGACAGCACCACCGCTAGCAGGACCGGAGTCACCAGTGACCTCAACAGGCGCAGGGACGGGAGGGTCTACCTGAAAAACACCTAAAGGAGCAGGACCTGGCGCGGGGAGGGGGTCTACCTGGGGAGGACCTGGAGTGAGAAAGAGCGGCGGGAGAGGGCGAGGAGCAGTGTGGTAGGGGAAGAGGCGGTAAAAGGGGACCGACTCTTCAAAGGTGACGTCCTGGGACGCAAAGACACGGCGCGAGGCGGGGTCGTAAAACTGCCAGCCAGGCGCGTCAGGGACAAAGCCAAGGAAGACGCAAGGAATGGCGCGAGGGGAGAGCTTGTCCGCGGTGGTATCGCGGACAAAGGCACGAGCACCCCAGACCCGGAAACGCGACGCATCGCCAACCTTCCCCGTCCACAGCAGTGTAGGCGAGGTCTCCGGCAAGGAGACACGGGGCCAAAGGTTGAGCTGATGCGCGGCGTACCGGACCGCAAACGGCCACAGAAAATGGGGGGCAGCCGCATGGATCATGGAGGTACGAGCGACCTCCATGACTAAGCCAATGCGGCGCTCAGCAACCCCATTCTGCTGCGGAGAGGCCGGAAGCGTGAAAGTCTGGCGGATGCCGTGCTCCGCACAGAAGGCTGCCAAGAGGTCTGAGGAGAACTCACCACCTCTGTCAGAGTGCAGACGCAGGACAGGAAAGTCCGACTGGAACCGCTCGCGGAGCTGGAGACGAGTAGCGCGGATCCAGGGGATCAAAACATCAGGGAAATTCCCCTTGCGCTGCAAGGGGAAGACCGTGGTGTAGCGCGTGTAGTCGTCGACAACCAGCAGGAAGTACCGCTCGTGGGCCTGTCCACGGACGCGGGCTGGGCCCCACACGTCCAGGTGGAGAGTCTGCAGTGGAGCCTCTGTGGGAGGGAACGAGGAGGAGTGAGGAGCGGCGCGCTGCCGCCCCTCGACGCAAGGAATGCAGGGCGGCGCAGGCGAGGGAGGGAGGGCAGGCAGAGACCTGGGAAGACCAGAGACCAGAAAGCGAGAGTGCATGCTACGAAGGCGAGGCAGGGAGGGGTGACCACGTCGGTGGTGCCACAGGAGAGTGTCGTGAGACAGCCGGCGACACTCACACTGGGTAGCTACCTGAGCAGACGCGTGCAGCTGGGGAGACAAAGGGGTGGAGCGCGACGCAGTGGTGAGGGTGTACAGACTGGACCCTGGCGCACGGGTGAACGTGGCCAGGTGGCGGCCGGTCTGGGAGCACGTGCAGATTGCCACAAGCTGCCGGCCAGGGGTGAAGGTGTCAACACCCGCATCCTGGAGGACAGCGTTGCTCACCAAGTTCGTAGAGAACGAGGGGAGGTGGAGACCAGACAGCTCACCAGATGGGACCGCCGGACACGGAAGCACAGTGGAAGACCGTGCAAGCACCGGGCCCCCAGAGGGGTCAGCCAGTGAGACAGGAACAGGTGCAGGGAGGGGAGTGACTGTGGTACTGTCGCGAAAGAAACAGCGCGAAGCACCAGAGTCAAGTGTAAAGGTGTGCAAGGCCTGTGCAGGCGCAGTACCAGGGGGAGCAGACTCACAAGCACCTAGTGCTGCAGGGGCTATACCAGGGGCTATACCAGGATCCGGCGGCACACACAAGTAGCAGTCACCCTTAGCACTAACAGTCAATGCATACATGGCAGCAAGAATAGCCTCATAGTCAAGATCAAAGATAGGTACATCACGCCTAAGCAGCTCTGCCCAATTGGGGAACTCAGGAGCATCAGGAAACTTGACGCGCCAGGCGTCGCTAAGCCGAGCGAAGCAGCGCTGCTCAGTGTGAAACCCTGTGCACTGGCGACCAGCGCGGGGACCTGTGCGAATGATATAGGGAGAGCGACCAGGACCCCCAGAAGCTGCTGGGAAGTGGGGGTCTGGCGCTGACGCTGCTGCTGCTGCTGCTGCGGGTGCTGCTGCTGCTGCCCCTGACCACCACTGCCACTACCGCTCCCTCCTCCCCCACCACCGCCGCTGCCACCTCCACTGCTCCCAGTGCCTCCGCCGCCCCCAAAACCACCTCCACCACCTCCACCCCCACGACCACCCCCACCACCTCCACCTCCCCCGCCGCCTGCACCACCGCCCCCTCCACCGCCACCCCCACCGCCACCCCCACCTCCCCTGCCACCCTTGCCGCCCCTGCCGCTGCGGCGCTTCCCACTAGGAGCGGAAGCAGCCCCGACCTCCTCAGCACCAAGGTAGTCGAGAGCAGCAGCTGCGGAGGCGTAGGAGGTGGTAAGAGGGGAGGGGGAGCACCCCTCAAAGAGGGGAGAGCGAGGAGTACCGCGAGCAGCACCTACAGTGAGGATGTTCTTCTCTGCTGCGAGGAGGTGCTTCTCGAGGTCGTCGACAGTGAGAGAATGGGGGTCAAGGGCGAGGAAGTGGTCCCTGACTGAGCGAAGAGTGTCAGGGAGGCGGGTGATGAGGAAGTAGAGAGTAAAGTACATCGGGGGGCGGTTCTCTGTGAGGAACTCGGCTGGAAGGGCGGCACGAAGGCGAGTGTCACTAGCGCGTAGGTGAGAGATGAGGTCCTCAGCGGTGGTAAACGAGGACAGGTCGGGGAACATGTAGGGTAGCATAAGTCGACCGAGGGCTGCAGTGGCCGTGGAAGAGTAGCGGGCAACTACAGCGTCGTACAGTGCCTTGGCAGTCTTGTGCTGGCTAAAATGTGCGCGCTCTGTGATCGGCAGATGGTTGCGAATAGCTAGGCGCGCAGCAGCATCGCGGGTCTGCCACTGGGAGCGGTCTAGAGCAGGCTCAGTGGCAGCAGGAGCAACGGCAGTGCCCGACACGTAATCAAATAGGGAAACACCGTCCTTGGCATCAGTCATGAGGAACATTTGCAGGTCGTCAAGCCAGGTGGAAAACTCTACTGGGCGACCGTCAGGATCGAACGCGAGCACGTTGAGAGTCGCCATGCGTGCAGTGTAGGCAAGTCGAGTGCGCAGGCGGCAAGGCAAAAGGCAAGCAAGGAGAGACTGCGTGCAAGGCTGCAGTGGCGGCTTACGGACTGCTGTGGCGGTGCACGGACTCCTAAGGCAGCACGGAGGGCAGCAGTGGGCCGCGCGTGGGCCTCTAAAGCAGCGCGTGGTGCAGCAACGGGCCGCACACGGGCTCCTAAGGCGGGGCACGGTGCAGCAGTAGGCCGTGCGCTGGCTCCTAAGGCGGCGCGCGGAGCAGGGGCGGGCTACACACCGGAGGAGGCGACGCAAGGGGCCGGCGGCAGGCTGCGCGGGCGGCTTAAGCGGCGCGCGGGCCGGCAGCAGGCTGCGCGGGCGGCAGATGCGGCGCGCAGGGCCTAAGCGGGCTGCGCGCGGGCGGCTTACGCGGCGCGCGGGCCGGCGGCAGGCTGCGCGGGGCCGAAACCGGGCCTAAACGAGCCTAAACGGGCCGCGCGCGGGCTGCTTAAGTGACGCGCGCGGGAAAAAAAATGGGGCCGCGCGCGTGCAGCCGAGGCGCGCGCGGGCAGCAGGCAAGGCAGGCAGGCAAATGAGGTAATGTGGTAACGGGTGGGCCCTAATCTTAGGTCCTAAAGACCTCTAGGCTCTAGATACCATCTTAGAGTATAGGCATGAATGAGATTTGACTATCGAGAGAATTGGTACAAAGGAGAAACCTAAGGGATTGTACCCCACAGTGAGTACCCCACTAAGCCTACCCAAAGTATAACATATATATATATGTTTGACACTCTGCACCGCCGATGCGAGCAGAGCAGCGGAGTCGGCCGCTGCTGGCAACGCCATCGCTTGGCGTCTAAATTTTGTAACTTAGTTCTTCTTAACCTGCTGGCCCCGTAAGTGTACAACGTACCATGTCATGCAGCAAAAGGCAGGGTTGGCGGACAATCATTTACCGTACATGCACTGTTCTCTTTGGCACAAAAGCCGGATGCATAAATGGCATTAAAATAGCATCACAGAACATTACACCAGGAGGAAAAAGAGTGCATGGGGCAACTCTGGTGCAAGCAAACAGTGATGGTGCCAGCCAGCTAGCCTGGATGGTGAAATGCCCTTGTGAGGCACAAAAACACGGCACGCACTTGCAATTGCATGTGAAGCGAAAGTAATTTCGTTGCTCAGCACCAGAAAAGAATACGACTTCAGGATAGGAGTAACTCTGGTGCGAACAATGGTGGTGCCATGTAGCCTTGATGGGTGAATGCCCTTGCGCGGCACAAAAACAGGCGACTGGCACCGAGATTCGAGAAGTAGCGGTAGTGTGTACAGGTGAAACCACTCGAGCGATGGAGAGACCACCTCGAGCGGCAAAAGACACTCATGCCGAGTGATTTGTGCAGCGATACTGCCAGCCAAGGTGGATGGAGCCGCGCTTGAGCAGTGGAAACAAACAGATCCCGGGTGACTGGTTGGCAGCAATACAGCCCTTGCACCCCCTCTCCCCCTCCCCTGCCCCAATACGTCCACCGCCTATGTGCGCGCGGAGAACTGAAGCTCCTCTGTGAGAGCCTTCCCCTGTGCATCCGCCCACGACACGGATCGAGGCAAAGCCAGAGGCTGCCCCGCCCTGCCCTGCTGATAGCGCGGGCTGGTGCGCAGGGCTGGGCGAAGCGAGTCACAGCATGTGGGGGCAGTAGGAAGGCCGGCCCTTGAAGTGCTAGGCTTGTGCGCGGAGTGACAGGGCGGGCGGGAGAGGGGAGAGGAAGTGGGTGATAGAGAGGCGTTGGCAGTGGGTGGAGTGGAGCAGTGGGTTGATGTGGTGGGGGTGAGTGCTGGTTCTGATGAGCGGACGAATGTTTGCTTGACAGAGGTCTGTGAGGGGGTTGGTGGAGAAGACAGGCAGCGGGAAGAAGAGGAGGGGCGCGAGTAGCGCGAGGAGTGAGATGGAGGGGAGAAGGTGGAGGAGGAGGCACTGCGATAGGGGGGGTGGAGCCAAGGAAAGGAGCAGGAGGAGGAGGAGGAGGAGGAGGAGGAGGAGGAGGAGGAGGAGGAGGAGGAGGAGGAGGAGGAGGAGGAGGAGGAGGAGGAGGAGGAGGAGGAGGAGGAGGAGGAGGAGGAGGAGGAGGAACGAGAGGAGCGAGAGGGGCGAGAGGAGGAGGTAAGGGGCCAGGAGGCACTGCGGTAGGAGGGGTAGAGCCAGGGAGAGGAGGAGGAGGAAGACAGGGAGGAAAAGGAGGAAGAGGAGGGGGAGAACGAGGAGGGTGGATGGATGGACGGAGAGAGGTGCGGATGAGGGAAGCGATGGTGGTTGGTCTGTGAAGGGAGAGGCATGGAGAGCACGTGGGCCTTGCAGGCTGCTTGATGCACCTGGCGAGCCATCAGCCGCTGCCACACCGCCTCTGCTCCCAAACGCACACCCTCACTTTCCACCTCGTCATTGCTAGTGCTGTCCCCTTGCCTCGCTTCCTTCCCACTACCTCGCTCGTCTGCTTCCTCCTCTGCCTGCTCCTCCTCCACTTCGTATTCGCTCCTCTCATGCCCCTGCTCCTCGTCCTCTTCGCCCTTTCTCCTCTCCGCATGCCTCGCTGCCTCTTCAGCTGCTGCAGGAAAACGAGGTGGATCATCCCCGTCACCGCCAGCACACCTGCTGCTCGCATCCCTCCGCTCACCCACCCTCTCCCACAGCAGAGCCTCCCAAAAAGCAGCACTAACGCCGCCGCTGCACCCGCTCGCCTCCCTGCTGCCCTCCCCCACTCCTTGCTGCGAGCCACAGGTGCTGTGGCCATTGGACCGCAGTCCTTCACCCAAGCCACTGCTGCGCACACTGCAAGCCGCAGCGCGTGTGGCGTGAGCATCACCGCTGCCGCTGCTGTGTGCTGCCGCGCTGCCTTGAGACGCTCCTGCACCAAATCGTCCAAATCGTCCCCATGATGACTCAAGTTCCGGGGCATGACTGCACACAGGTGCAGGTGGGGTATCCTCAAGAGGGGCAGCGCGCGTGCTTGCAGTCCACAAGCCTCTTCCGCCCTCCCTGTTGCCTCCAACTCCCCTGAAGGCCTCTGCGTTCCCTCTCTGCCACTCCTCAGGGGAGTGAAGCTCGTCATCCCCGACTTCACCCCCCTCCATCCCTTCCATCTCCTCCTCTTCCCCAGCCCCGCCCATGAGCACCAAACCCAGGAAGCCGCCTTCCCCCATTGTCCCTCTTCCTCCTCCCTTCCCTCCCCCGCCACTCGCCCCAGCCGAGCCACTCGCCCCTGCCATGCCTGCAGTCCACAGGCGGGTGGCAGCAGATTGCAGTCGCGCTGACAGCAAAGCAGCAGCCTCCCCTCCTGTGCTGCTGCGGCTGCCTTCACTCACACACTGGGGCCCAGCCGAACCCAATACAGCCGAACCTGATGCAGTCGAACCTGATGCAGTCGAACCTGATACAGGAGTGGTGACAGCTGTAACGATCGCAGTTAAATCATCTCTACTCCAATCCCCTCCCCATCCGCCCTTGCTTCCCCGTTGCTCCCAGGGGAAGAAAAGAGCCGCTGCCCTGCCTCTCTCCTCACACCCGCGGCTGCAGAACTTGCCTGAACCCGCTGTTACATTGTAGATTATCTGTAGCGTTACATCTACAGTGCGTGTACACTGCGGGTTACCACATAACCCTGCAGTAGCGCGCTCGTTCATGACGTCACACAGCTCCCTGCGCGTCAGAAGCCGAGACGCAGCGTCCATCTGGCGGCGTGTTATTGGCGGGCCTTGCAGGAGGTGCAGCTGGATGCCGAAAGCAGCGAGGTGACGCGCCTGTCGAGGCAAGGCAAGGGTGGGGGGGCGGAACGAGGAGACGCAGAAGTGAGGAAGATTCAATGAGAGTTAGCCTGGGAGGGAGTTTTCGGAACCAGCTAGGATCGTCGAGAGCCAGGTTTGCAGCAGAGCACGGAGAAGGGCGAAACGACAGAGATGGTGCACGGAGGATCGGAAGACGAAACGGGCCGGATGGTTACCTGGCGGTTGAAGTGGGCGCGATCCACGTGGCTGACTGGCGGCTCGTCGCTGCTCATGGGGCTGCCCTGATCGCCCGGCAGGCCAAGGCGTGTGAGGGACGCGATGTGCGGCGAGGCGAGGGGAGGCGATGGTGAAGTGGAGAACACGAGTGGCGAGGTATGGAAGAGGAGTCGATGGTGGTGCGGCGGAAGAAGATGGAGCGAGGGAGTTGCGAGGAGCTGAATGAGGCAGGCATGAGTCCTGCTTTTACTCCCCGGGGTGAAGAGCCTCCTGGACACGGCAGCTTCGATTTCCGCGAGGGTTTTCTGACGACGCTACCAGTGGCAAGAATTGTGCCAGATTCGCCAGCTCACGCCGACTCTATCGCTGCCTATTGGCGGATCGAGTGATCTCATCGAGTAGGGGGGGATCTTGAAATGGAGGAGATCGCGATTAGGTCGCGCGTAGTGAAGGGGATCGCGAGTAGGGGATGGTGGGAGATGGCGAGGGCAGGCATCGCGGCTGCTCGAGTGAAAGATTCGAATTGCGTTTGCTGCAGCTGCGCCCGCGTCGTTTAAATTCGGTCTTGGATGTCGATAAGATCGAAGGGGACGCTGAGGAAATAGATTCTCCGGGCATTTCGTTGCAGGAGTCTCGGAAACCGGATTGTGCCACGCAACTACCGGAATTGAATTCGTCATTCGAGGAACGGGCCGACATGCCGCCCAAAGACTCTCTCGCTCTGGCGTGTAGCTGGCTGCTGCTAATTCGCAAACCGTGGTCCCATCGTAACGGATGTAACCAGCCTGGCATCACGTGGGGCCAAATAAAAAGCTCAGCGGCGCGCCCTACCTTTGCATGACCCCATTACGATTATGCATCGAACCAGCAGCCATGGCTGGGTATCCGTGGCGTTGCGCGCTGGCATCGCTGGCATCGTCGTCACCGCCCTGCGAGCAAGGCTCGAACCGATGCGCTGGTTCTCGAGCCTGTCTGCGTGTGCAGCTAAGATCGACGTGACAGCGGCGACCTAGGAAGAGCTGAGATAGTTTCTAAGGAGTCTATAGAGTTTCGTGATTATAGGAGAGGTCATGTCCAAGAAGAGAACGCGATATGTAGTGGTGATTACGAGACCAGTGTGATAAGAAACTGAGATTATAAACTGTAGATGTTCATATACCTTATATACTGATATGATACACCTAAAGTGAGCGAGTGTACAATATCAAAAATAGTTGTAACTGTGCATGAGGGACCGACAGGGGTAGGCCAAGACAAGATGCTTATATGGGGCATCAAGCCCTCCTCGGATTGGACCAGATGGACGCGAAAGTATTGGTTCCTTTTAACTTCTCTTCCACGACCCTTATCCTCCTACCACGGCTCTCGTTATCAGGGTAAAATACCCTTTTTGCCCTTTCTGGCGGCTGCTTTTTTTCAGTTACCCTTTCCCAGGAAGGATAATGGGATTTTTACCCTAGGCCAGAAAGTGTCAGTTTTTTTGTACCCTTTGAAAAACAGCGTAATGAACTTATTTCTCTGTACACGGTACGATCCCAGTTATGCTGAAACCGAATGCTCCGTAGAGAGACGAAACACTATACGGGCCCCTGGAAAATACTCCCAACAGCGAGAATCGAGCCTTCAAACTTTCAGATCTAATACGTAATCGTACCAATTGAGCCACTAAGTGATGGAACTTGAGTACTTTGGCATTTCTTTAATATAGTGTACAAAAAACTTACCCTGCCCAAACAGAATATAGTTTTTTCACCCTGAATTTGTCAGGGAAAAAAATATTACCCGACGCATTAGGGTTGACTATACCTAGAACCCTGATTACTAAGGCCGAACGAATCTGAAGCCTTGCCTCCTACGCAGCCATGGTTCCTCTAGGATTTTGAGAAAACAAAAATCCATGTCCCAAGTTTTTTGCAATTCTAGTCTTCTCACTTCTGTCACCCTTGTAAAGATCCTCGCATGCAGCCGAAAGGCCTGTTTCAATCTTCCAAGGGCTTGGTACGCCCGACACTGTAGACCTCGGAAAATTGCCTCGCATCATTTCAGCCACAGTTGGAGCAGTCGAATCGCGGAGAACATCGCTTCTACAAAAGTTGAGTTGGAGCTTGCATACATGAGCAGCAAATCACCCTGCGAAGATATTTGATGTGTCGGATTCATCATGCACAGTGCCCGCTTGATGGCCGAGGTTACAACTTGGATATGCGGGCAGGAGAAGAGGCAGTGGTCCAAGGTCTCCTCCCCGTCACAGTGGGGGCAAATAGGCTTGCTGCTAAGGAAATCGAAACTTTCCCCAACCTGAAGGTTTAATCAGTGGATTTTGTGCAGAACGTCTCATGGACGGTTGGATTGCTGGACAATCACGATTAATTGAGAACCTGCTTCTAGTTTATTCTTCCACCCCATCTGCTCGACCACTTTAGCTGCTTAAATGAGGAAGGCTAACCTTCCTTCAAAAAAATAAAAAAAATCTCATCTTCTTCAAGGGGATCATGCCCCCATCCAAGACAAAAGGAATATGAGTTGTCAAGGGCCCTGGAGCAGAGATCTTTAGGCAAGAGCTGCTAATAACCAGCCGAGCTTTAGACACCCGCTAAGGTTAAAAGTGTTGACGGGAGTTGGCCCCGCCCTCCCTATCTTCGTGGCCGGGTGCACGGGAGGTGCGGCCGACTGCTGTTAGTGCTCAACGCTGACTTGGCCAAGGAAGTCGACGGGTTTAGCCGATTTCCGCGGGACCACTTCGAATCTGCCGACAAGGGAGGCCGGCGGCGGCGTTCGACTGGTGTGGTCGACGAAGGGGTTTGTCGACATGCGGGGACGTCGACTTGGTGAAGTTGGCGGGTGGCTTCGACCTTGGTGGTCGACGAGGGTGTGTATCAACCTACGGGCTCCGAACGCCAGTCAGGTCGACGTGGACTTCGGGGTTTCCCTGTCGACCAACTAACATAGGCGACGAGGTTCTGCGGAGGTGCGTGGATGCCTCCCAGCTGGTTTTGGCGAAGCCGACCTCGAGCTGGTATCCCGATGTCGACGTGGCACACATGACGCAACCGTCGGCATGTGGCCGACTTGGCACCTACGTAATGTGCAGGGCGGTGCACGTCGTGCTGAGCCGTCTACAAGGACCTGCGCAGTAGGTGCGCGCATATGCGCTTATAGTCACATGCGGTTACAACGCTGGCAAGCCGCCTTGCTGCATCGTTGGCAAGCCACGATGGTGCGCTGCTAGTAGGTCGCCGACTTGCAGTGTTGGCAAGCCTGTCAGATTTATATGACATAGCTACTGTAGGCTATAGTGGGGTAGCACATATGGGGTACAGTTTTCTAGGGTTTGCTTTTGTACCCAACTTTCCCTTAGTCAATCCATTCCTCATTTCTTCACATGGTATAGAGCAGGTTCCCTAGTGGGAACGCTTCCTTGGGCCCACCACTGAAACCTTTTTTTTCTGACCGGAGCGACAGTCGCTCCTGCCCGAGGCGCGCCTTGTGGGCCGCCCTTCTGTCGAGCTCTCTTAGAGGCCCCTCTCACGGCCCCTCGTCGCCGCCCCTAGCGGCCCCGTTGCCGCCCTTCCAGGCCCCTTGCGGCCCCTAGCGGCCCCATTGCCGCCCCTACGCGGCCCCGTAGCCGCCCCTAGCGGCCCTGTCGCCGCCCTTAGCGGCCCCGTTGCCGCCTCCCTCCCTACGCGGCCCCGTTGCCGCCCCTACGCGGCCCCGTCGCCGCCCCTAGCGGCCCCGTCGCCGCCCCTACGCGGCCCCGTCGCCGCCCCTAGCAGCCCCGTAGCCGCTCCCCTCCCTACGCGGCCCCGTCGCCGCCCCTACGCGGCCCCGTCGCCGCCCCTACGCGGCCCCGTTGCCGCCCCTAGCGGCCCCGTCGCCGCTCCCCTCCCTACGCGGCCCCGTAGCCGCCCCTACGCGGCCCCGTCGCCGCCCTTACGCGGCCCCGTCGCCGCCCCTAGCGGCCCCGTCGCCGCTCCCCTCCCTACGCGGCCCCGTCACCGCCCCTACGCGGCCCCGTCGCCGCCCCTAACGGCCCCGTCGCCTCCTCCCTCCCTACGCGGCCCTGTCGCCGCCCCTACGCGGCCCCGTCGCCGCCCCTAGCGGCCCCGTCGCCGCCTCCCTCCCTACACGGCCCCGTCGCCGCCCCTACGCGGCCTCGTAGCCGCCCCTACGCGGCCCAGTCGCCGCCCCTAGCGGCCCCGTCGCCGCTCCCCGCCCCTAGCGGCCCCGTTGCTGCCCCTACCCGGCCCCGTCGCCGCCCCTAGCGAGCAGCCGAGCCGCCGAGCCGCCCAGCAGCTGAGCCGCCGAGTCGCCCAGCAGCCGAGCCGCCCCTGGAACAGCCGCCACTGCAGCAGCCGCCCCTGGAGCAGCCGCCACTGCAGCAGCCGCCCCTGGAGCAGCCGCCACTGCAGCAGCCGCCCCCGGAGCGGCCGCCACTGCAGCAGCCGCCCCCGGAGCAGCCGCCACTGCAGCAGCCGCCCCTGGAACTGCCGCCCCTGGAGCAGCCACCCCTGCAGCTGCCGCGGAGCTCTCGCTCTACAGTGGTAGCGGCCTCGCCGTTGCCGCCGTCGTACGCCTGCCCTTCTCGCCACTGGTGAGCACTGCCCTGCCCGTACTGCTGTTACTGCTGCTCTTACTGCTGCTGCTCTTTCTACTGCTACTGCTGCTCCTGGCGTGGCCAGATGCAGCTCCAGCGTCGCCCGCGTGAGTCCCTCACCCCCCAACAGCTTCGTGCGTGGTACGCTAGTTGGGGTTGTCGGGGTGGCCGTAGTGGGAGTCGTCCTGGAGTGAGTAGTTCCACAGCTGCTTGTAGTGGCCAGGTGCAGCTGCAGCGTCGCCCGCGTGAGTCCCTCACCCCCCAACAGCTTCGTGAGTGGTACGCTAGTTGGGGTTGTCGGGGTGGCCGTAGTGGGAGTCGTCCTGGAGTGAGTAGTTCGGCAGCTGCTTGTAGTGGCCAGGTGCAGCTTCAGCGTCGTCCGCGAGCAGTCCTTTCGCCACAGCAGCTTCGTGAGTGGTACGCTCAGCGTGACGGGTCACGGGGTACTGCTCGCTGTCCGTA